CCCCCCCCCCCCGGGCTGGTTACCTGCGGAAAATGAGCTTGCTGCTCTCCTGGAACTGGGCCAGCACGGCGGGGGGCTCCGGCCACTCCACTCCCTTGCCGTAGTCCGGCATGCTGCGCACAGCCTGGAAGCTGAGCAGCAGCTCCCGCAGGTGCGACTTCACCTTGTGGCGCCTGAAGTAGGCCATGATCGTGTAGGCGGCCCGCAGGTACCGGCAGCGCTTGCGGGCCAGGGCTCCCCTCCAGGCCTGGAACAGACGGAGGCACTGAGTCCCCGGCCGGGGGAGCCGCGGTACCCCACGGTCCCCCGCCCCCGCTGGTGCCCCCGGACACGGCCAGCCTGCTCCCGGTGTGCAGCCAGGCCCCCCAGAGAGGATCCGGAGGGGCGCGTGCCAAGCTGGGGCCCCCCAGAGCTGGGCGCCCTCTGGGTTCCTGGACTACGGCCCCCATGCTGCACAGCCGGCATGGCAACGGGGCACATTCCACTGCCCGGCACGGGCCCCCCAGTCCCCACGTCCAGCAGCCCGTGCCCCGCACACGGGTCCGGAGACGCGCCGCCACGGAGGGTCGCGGTACCTTCTGCAGCAGCAGGACAATAATGGGGACCAGCTGAGCCCTCGCCTGCTCCAGCGTGAAGAGCGTCCGGGGCGTGCGGATGAAGATCTTGGAGTGGCCGTAGGCCACGTCGTCCTGGAAGCCGTGCTGCTCGATCAGGGCCTGCGTGGCCTCGCGGTCCGTGGCCATGAGGTGGTTGGGCCACGTGTACTCACAGGTCATCTTGTACCTGGGTGGAGAAGACACTGACCCCAGCTGGCCCAGCTGGATGCGCGGACGGAGAGGGCAACCCCGGCGGCCTGTGCCATGGCCGAGGGGCAAATGGCAGTGTCCTGCCCCCGGTTCACAGGGCTGGGGCAACAGGGCTGTTTTCACTACCGCCCCCGTCTGACTACTCTGCCATCCTCTTGCTCTCGAGCGTCCCCCGGGGCAGGTGGTGGGCTTCCCAGGATCAAGACAGTCCCGTGAGCACTTCCTGCTGTCATGCAAAGTATTTTGGGATGCCTTCGCCTCGAATAAACCCACCAGCTTTACGAAAGATCTGCTCCCGGTGCAGAGGAACCTCAATTTTTGGTCAGCACAGCTGCCGGCGATTTGCGAATTCCTTTGGGGGCATGGCAGTGCCAGTGGCTGCACAGCAAGCTATGCCCCCATCCCAGATTCCAGCCAGTCGCCATTCCTTAATTTTTGGAGAGCGGGCCATGCCTCCCAGGGTGCATTTCTGAGTGCTCCCCATATTTAAAAACGAAACTCTCCCTGCAAATGGAAAGCTAGCAAAGCCAGCAGAAAGCTTACAGGCCACTCCCCTCCCTGTTCTGCTGCTTTTCTGCTTGCGGGGATTTTCTTTCCCTAGGAAGGACGCTGCGCCGGCACAAGGTGCGGCTGGGCTAGCTCGGTGAAGGGCCACGTCGACCGTAAGAGCAGGCGGACAACAAACATTTCCTTGCTTTGCCGGAGGTGACATCGAGGAAAGGGGCTGAGGCAAGCAGCCTGCAACAGCCTTCTTCAGCAGGGTGTGGGGGCTGGGGATGGTGGGTGTTGGAGTTCTGCTCCTCAAGACCAGGGAAAGAATCTCAGTCCTCCTCCTGGGCAGCGGCCACTCGGACCCGGCGGCCTGTGGGCTCGGCCATGGCTTGGGCACCCTCCGCCGCCCGCCCGCCCGCCCTCCCGACAGGTGTGCGGGGGACCCACCTGAGCAGGAAGCGGTCATAGGGCTGCCGGTAGGCGAACCCAGCCCGGCGCACGCGCACGTTCTCCAGCAGCCCCAGGTAAGCCACCTGGTGCCGGCAGCGCTCCTCGTCGAAGAGCAGCGGGGACTTCAGGTCGTTTGGCTTGATGCACCGGACGTAGTACGGCTCCTGTTGGGGAAAGAGCCGGGAAGAGGCCAGTGAGCCCTGAGTTTTGGGGCGGAGGGCCCCCCGCTCTCCCGCCCTCTCACGGCCCCCGGCTGCCCTGCCCAGCTGTTGCTTTATAGCGTTCCATCATACCTGCATGGGAAGGTGACCCGCTCAGAGGGGCGGGGCGGGGCCCCGATCCACCCAGGCACCAGCCGAGGTAGCTTGGGGGCGGCCACGGGGGGGCAGAAGCGCCTGTGCTACACGTTCACACTGCAGCTCCTCCCTGGTCGCCTCCCGAACCCCTGTCCGCTGGTACCCAAGTACATCCGGCAATATGGCTGGGAGCAAGGAAGGGGCTCAGGGGCTGGAGTGGGTCAACCCCCCAAGCAACCCCCCCGCAAGGTGCTTTGCAAGCTGGGGGAAAAGACAAAGTGCTCCCGATCGGTTTATTTATTAGATTTGTACCCCACTTTTTTCTTCTAAAGACCTCAAAGCAGCTTACATCATTCTCCTCCTCCTGCTCTCAGGCTTATTCCCCCAACAACAACCCTGCGTGGTAGGCTGGGCTGAGAGTCTGTGACCGGCCCAAAGTCACCCAGTTGGTCCCTTGGCTTGGACCCAAGTTGCATTTGGACCCAATCCCGTGCATTTGACCACTACACCGCACTGGCTGGCAGCTTGTGCAATCCTCCTCCTCACTTTAGCCTCACAACAACCTTGTGAGGGAGGCCAGGCTGCAACTCAGTAACCCAGGGAGCTTCCCGGCTGAGCAGGACCAGAACCCGGGTCTCCTGACTCCTGGTCCAACAATCGCACGGCTACATCACACAAATCTCTCATCTGGGAGCCACAGACCAAAGCCAGCAGGAGAGGCAGCTGAACTGCAGTGCACTGCTGGGGCAGGGCTGCAGTTCAACAGGTGCCGCTCTCAGCACCTGCTGCCTGAGGCAGCCGCCTCACCCTGCCCGACGATAGACCTGGCCCTGAACACCACCCAGCGGGAAACAGGTAGCCCTCTCGATGCTTGTGGAGAGCAGCTCCCTTCCATCCTGGCCAGTGCAGCCCATGGTGAAGTGGCTGATGGGAACTGGAGTCCAAACAAGATGGGGAGCACTGCCCATTCCCCCTTGGCTACATGGCGCCCGATCCAGAGGCCTCCAAAGATGCCTTCCCATGCATGGTCACCAGCGCGTAAGCTCCCTGGAGCTTACTCCAGAGCAAACCTGCGGGAGGAGCCTGCCACGCTTCCCATACGGATCGTGCCCAAGCTGTTCTCCCGGCTGGCCTTCGCCTGCGCTCCAAATACGCTCCCGGTCCCAGCCCAGAGGAGGAAGGGGCCTCGGATGCCGAAAGGCACCTCGCTTTCTCTTCCCGGGAGAGCCCGCGTCAAGCCCCGTCAGCCACCAAGTTCACGGAGCACTGCTCAGTCGCAGCCCACCTCGCCAGCCTCGCAGGGGCGTCGTGAGGTCGAAAATGAAGGACAAGGGGAGCAGAGCGGCTGGCTCCAGATCGACACCGGATCCCCTGCACCGGACCCTCTCTCCCTTGAAGCAACCCCTCCACCCCTTAAAAACATTCTTCTTGACAGGGCAGGGAGGGGGCGACCCCTGAAATTCGGGTGGGGGCCCTTCCCCTCGCACAAGGCAGAGCCAGATGCGCTGTGTCCCACGTTCCCCGAAGAAGCAGAAAATAAAGACGCGATTGATCATCACCATCTGTGTATTTATAGCACAGGACACGGGGCACCATCCCCCCCCCCCCCCCGCGCTCTGCTTGCGCAGGCTTCTAATTTTAGGCACCATGGCTCCTGGGAGCAGGTTCCCAGTGAGTGGGGTGGGGGCGGCACTGAGCGCCTCTGCCCCCACCGGCTGGAGGCAGGCGGCTGAGGCCCTCCGGCGACGGCTGACCGCCAGCATCCACGTGGGATGGGGGGGGGTCGCAGGGAAGACGGCCCCGTAAAAGCGGGCGTGAGCCCACGGGCTGGGCAGCAGCGAGTGTGCTGGGGGCAGAGAGCCTTGCAATTACCTCAAAGCCCCCCCACAGCTGTCAAGGGCAGCGGCCAAAGCCACAGAGGGGCCCTAAGGGGCGCAGGCAGCTTCCCTTCGTCCCTGTGCAGCCCGAGGTCTCCGGGAAGGGGGCCCGCTTCTGCGCAAAGATGCTTGCGGCTTCCTGCGTGTAGCTTTGCAGGGAACTGAAAAGCATTTCCTCTTTGTCTGCACCCTCTGGAGACCTTCTGGGTACAGGGGCATCAAAACCTTTCCAATTTAAAGTCCTGGCTATGGCTTAGGGAACCCTGTATGGGTTGGGACCAGGCCACCCAAAGACTGCCTTTCCCCTGCGGGCCAGCCTGGGCTTTAAGCTCTCGGGGTGGCCATTTCCCTCTTCCAGTGGAAATGGAGCCCCGCTTTCTCGGTGGCTGCCAGAATCCCTGCCGAAGGAGGGCTGGCTTGCAAGTCCATGAAACGGGTTTGCCTTGCCCCTTGCGCATGAATCTTAAATTTTTAATTGGGAGATTTTTAATCACACCAGTAGATTAAGTCTGACTATAATGGCCTGTTTTATCTGGTTTCCCATGGGGTTGAGTCCCCTCAAGCACCTCCTGGAAAAGCATCATATAAGCTGAATAAATAAGAGCCCAGTCCAGCATATGGGGAAAGCCAGACCCTCCAGGTCAAACGGGTAGGACTGCACCCTGAAGGCCTCAGCTAACCACAAGTGTGCAAACACACATGCACACACGCACGCACGCACACACACCTGCAGCCGGAAAAGCCAGGCATCCAGCCCCAGCTTCCCTCCCAGTGAGGTTCCCACTTTAAGGTAATGGAGCCCTTTCACGTTCCCTCCTCTCTTGCTTTGCCAATCCGCTCGGGAGACCTTTCGGCTGCGCGGCTAAAGAAATCCGTGCCACGTGCGGCTTGCACAGCCGGCCGAAGGCTTTTCTTGCCTGCTGGTGGAAGGTCTGCAAGGATGCGGCCGGACGGGGCAGAGCCCACCCTCCCAGGCAGAGGATGCCGTCTCGCAGTGGGGGCTGGCTGGAGGTGGCCCGGATCCCCAAACCTCCACGGGGGCTTCGGGCCCTGGCGCAAGAGGGGCAGCCCACACAGGGTCGGGGCAGGTGGGAGCGGCGGCTGCCGGCTTCTGCCCGAGTGGGGCCCCTCATCCGCTGCAGCTCTTCTCCTAGGCTCGACAGGGCTCTGCATGGTGCTGAGCACCATCCTCAGAATCGCTTTGCTGCTGTGCAGCAGCACGGACAGCCCTGACGGTGCACCAAAGAACAGCGGCGACGGGCGAGCGCCGTGGGGCCCCCAGCCTCCCCCGGGCGCCGGGCCCGAGCAGGCAGCACAGCCCAACGGCTGGCGGCTCCGAGAGGGCGGGCCGGCAAGCACCTTGCAGGCCAGGTTGTCCACCAAGGCCACGATGGAGACTTTGAAGAGCGTGGCCGCCGTCAGGGGCCGCTTGGTCACCTCCATGATGCTCTGCTTCCCCTCCGGCCACATCTCTCGTAGGACGGGGTCTGCGCTGGAGGAAAACCGCAGAGAGGGACTGAAAGGACCGCGCGCCCTTCCCCGAGCCCACATTTTCCCCGGTTTCCCCCTGGATCCGTGGGGGGTGCGGCTCCCCCCGGAGGCTCGAGCGAGCCGGCAGCCCGGCACACCCCATGAGTCCTCGCAGGAGCGGGGCCAGGCCCGTGGTGCTCGCAGGGTGAGGGCCGCAGCAGCCGTGGAAACCAGCCGGAAGCCTCCGGACGGGCACTAAGGGGCCGCCCAGCCCTGGCTTGTTTTGCCCCAGCCGTGGGGGCCGCTGTGGAGGCCCCCGTGCACTCGCGATCTGGCCTCAGCCTCCACCCTGCAGCCTGATCCTGGGGGACTCGGCTCCTGCCTGCCTTCCCGCCCCCCGCAGCCACCCTTTGCCAGGTTCCTGACCCTGACTGGACCGGCCCTGCACCTCTGCCCCACGGTGTCCGGTGCTCCAGGTGAAGGCGGCGGCTCCTCCCCTGGCTGCAGGCGGGCTGGGGAGGCCGATCGGCTGCGCGATGGAGCACTCCCTGGCCGGGCACGGCAGGCAGCGCAAACGGCGCCCAGGTGCTCTTGCCACGGCTCCACGTTCCCCTCTGAATCGCCCTTCCCCGATCTGGTGCCCCCCCGGCAGGTTGGCCCCCCCCCCCCCCCAGTGAGCAGGGCCCGCGGCTCCAGGTGGACACACACTCCGAGCTGGTCGAGGGAAATTTTTATTTTATTTTATTTATTATTTTATTAAAACATTTTTATGCTGCCCCATTCGCCGAAGCCTCGGGGCGGCTTACATGCACCGGGCAACTCCTGTGGGGCCATTTGGAGCTCAGCATGGGAAAAAACGCTCCCCCCCCCCCCCCCCCATCCTCCTGGCACGGCCGGGCATACCTGTTGTACATCAGCCGCTTGAAGTCCTGGAAGAGGGTGTCCTTGTTCTTGTCCAGGAAGCCCTCCACGGAGTACCTGCAGCACACGGTGGGAGAGCCTTTGCATCGCTGCCTCGCGGGTCGCCCACGACGCCGGTGCAGCCCCGGGCGAGCATCTAAAAGGATCTCCGGCTTTGCCAACGTAAAGTAAGCTCAGTGTCCGTCGACCCTCTTTCCCACCCTTCAGGGACCCCGTGTGTTTTGCCGAAAGACAGAATCCGTCTCGCGCAAACATCTGCATTTTATATGTTTTAAAAGGAAGAATTAACCACTGTTTGCCTGTTTCTTCTTCCAAGCAACCTGTGGGAGCCCCCAGGGGTCACCGGGAACCATCTCAGAGCATGCTGGAGCCTCACCTGGATGCCTGGACCGCCTTCCCACCCTCCGTACCCGGAGGCAGACAAGTGGCTGGCACATCAGCTGCTGGGAGCCTTGCTGCCCCAACCGGCTCCCTCCCTGCTCTCCTTCCTCCCCTTCCCAGTGGAAGGAGGGATTCACACATGGCTGGGGGCCCTTCGTCTTCATCTACTGCAGGGGAACACGGATTTGGGAAGGTGCTTCTCCTGGAACGCCATGAAAAGGGGCTTGGAAAGGAGCCGGAGATGACGCTCAGACCAGGACGTCCGGCTTGGATGCCGCAGTGGCAGGATCTTTCCAGCCAGGAAAGGGTGGCTGAAGGCAAGGCACGGATGAAGCCCGGCACGGTGTACCTGTGGCCCTGACCTGGCGCAGGTCCTGTTGCTCAGGCCAGAGAACAAGCCCAATCTTAATGTATTTATTGGGCGGGGGGGGGGGGGTGCAGATATTGCAACTCCTATCCACCCCAGCCAGCATGGCCCATGGGCATAGATGTCCATCCAGCCACCTTTGAAGGAGCACTGAAGCCTTGTGTGACGTGTGTTCCTATGCTCCGTCCCCCCAGTTGATGGGACGTGTCTGCAGGTCACTGGCCAAAAACTCAGAAGGCCTCTAGAGAAACAGCTGCAGCGAAGAACCCTCGGGAACACAATTCTGCTGCACAACAATGCCCATGCTCCTCAGGGCATCCAAGGAATGTCCTTGTCCACTGAGCACGTTAAGGCTTCCGCACAGTGTTCTTGGATTCTCTCTGTGCTTGTTTTCTCCTCATGTTTTGTGTCTGTGCGGCCCAAGAGTTTTTCCAAGGCTCCTGATGGTGCATGGTCAGGACCATTCGGATCCCCAAAGATTCCCCTGAAGTTCTCCACGCGTACGTCGCGCGGCAAAAATCCAGCCCACACAGAGGCCCGAGGGGGTGCGGCAGGTGAAGGGCCCCTGGGCAGGGCGTCCCAACGGTTCGCACGCCACGCAGGTTCCCCACACCACCCCAGGAGGCGCACAGAAACACTCACGTCACGTCGCCCGCATAGTGCTTGATCCGGAAGTCCCGCCCGAACTCCATGGTCTTGTCGGTCGGGTTGACCTGAGGACACACCGGCAGCGCATCGCGTCAGCAAGGATACCGCTCTGCAGTCTTCCAGGCGCCCCGTCGCCTCTCGGCTGACTGCGCAGGCAGGCCGTTCCCAATGCACACGCGCCCCCGGGATGCACGCCGGGGGTTGCGGAAGCTCGTTCAACCCAAGGGCCACATTCCAGTCTGGAGAAGCTCTCGGGGGCCTAATCCGAGTCGCGGGTGCAGCGAGGGGAGCCTGGCAGGAGCGGTGGGGCTCAAAGCTCCAGCACGATCCTGTCTAAATCTCGCGCTGCCGGGAACCAGGCGCTGGCAGAAGCAGCCCAGACTTTTAGAATGGGGAGAAACTGCACAGAAATTGGGAATCCACAAAACAGTTGGCGGAGGGTGGGGGTTAGGCTAGACGTGGATCTGGCCTCCAGGCCTGGCTTAGCACAGGAGGAGCAGCCGGGAGAGGCCCGTGGGGCGCTTCGCCATGCCATTCCTCGTCTTGTACAGAGCTTTTCTGGGGCACGAGGAGGGGCAGAGCCGTGCCGGGGGGGGGGGGCTGCTGCATCCCTTTACCTTCCTGCTGGCGTAGTGGGGATGCTTGCCGAGCCGGGCGTTCATGGACTCCAGGAAGAGGGCATCGGTGACCTGCCCCGCCGTCAGACAAGCCTCGTCCAAGATGGCTATGATGCCCTTGTGCGCCTCCTCCACCAGATCCACGATGATTTGGTTGTTGAAATACTCGATCTGTCAAGGGGGAGGCGTGAGTGGCAGCCCCGCTGCTCAGGGGGACGGGGCAGCCCCGCTGCTCAGAGAGGGACCTTCCACTCCTCGGAGAGCCCGAGTGGAGAGAGTCCGTCTGGAGATAGAAGTCACAGCGAAAGTGAAGGGGGAGGCCCGGGGCACCCGCCATCTTTGTGGGAAGGCCCTGCAAAGAAAGGGCAGCGGCCTCTGGCAGGAGAGAACCTGGGCGCAGGCCACCGCGGCCCACCTGGGGCAGGAGCGGACAGGAGAGGCAGCCTCAGCCCTTGCGGGGCAGGTGAGGCGGCCGGACACCCGTGGGAGGGGTGCGGTAGGTGCAAAATAAGTGGGGCAGGAAACAGATGGTAGTGGGGTGTCCGTGTGCCCTCTTTCTCCGAGGACCACCCTCGATTTGTTCCTTATTGTATTATATAGTTCTTGTTTATTACGTTGCTATAACACCCGTAGCTGAAGCTCCCTGGGCCGTTCTCAGAGGGGTAGAGGAACAATACAAGGGAATGCATGAAACAGCACTGAGAGCATTTGGAAGGCTGCCAGGTCTTGTTCGGAATACGCACCCCGGGCAGCTGAGCACCTGTGGGGACTTGGCCTGCCTCTTGCCCTCTTCTCTGCCGGGGCGAGCGGCGCTCCTAGTTAGCACGCAAGTTAGCAACTTGCACCCCTTCCGATGAATTCGCCAAGGAGAATATTGAGCTGCTCCGTGCCCCCGTGGCCCCGTGAGCGGGCTCCTGACTCACGCCCTCGGCGTGCCAACTGCCACCAGCCGGGCGTTACCGACAGAGCGCAGGGGCAGGAGGAACCCAAGAAATGCCTGTGATCCTACATGGCACCTTTGAGACGGGCTCCAGGCCCGCCCCATCCCCTGGCAAACCACTGCTAGCATTTTGTCACCGGGGCACAACCTGGCCACCGCCAAGCACGCCAGACGACCATCAGCCATGCTGGCTGGGGGACAGAAACACAGAAACTGAGTGAGTCGAAAGGGGCCTTCTGGGCCATCTAGTCTGACCCCTGGCACCAGCTGGCTCCGCTCACGACATGCCCACCATGTGCATGTCCAGCCTATCCTTGAACACCCGCGCCGATGGGGCCTCAGTGACCTCTCATGGAAGCCCATTCCACACCCTCAGGGTCCTGACTGTCAGGAAGCACTTTCTGGCATCCTAACTGAACCTTGGCTCCCTGAGCTTGGCTCCCCCGGAGCGTATCCTGCCTTCCTCTGCAGGGGGGAACAGGTCTCTACCCACCTCCGTGTGACACCCCCTCACATACCTGTATGCCAGCAACAGATCCCTTCTGAGTCTCCTCCAGGCTGAAGGGACCCAGTTCCCTCAGTCTCATCTCATACCCCATCATCCCCTGCAAAACGGCCACCAACCTTGTGGCCCTACGCTGCACTGACTCCAACCTGGCTAGATCCTTCCTGTAATGAGGGGTCCAAAACTGAGCACAATACTCCAATTGCGGGCGCACCAGAGTCGTACAGAGTGGCAGTAATACCTCTCTTGATCCAGAAGCCACACTTCTGGCTATGCAACTAAAGGCACCGCATCACACTGCTGGCTCCCACTGAGGGGAATTGTAGTCCAGTGATCTGGCGGGTGCCGGGTTCGGGAGGGCTGCGCTGAGGGTGAGATGCCTGGGCACCCCTGCCCCTGTGCCGTCGACCCGGGGACGCCCCCCAGCCCGCCTCGCCCCATGACTCACGTGCTGCCATCGGATGCCCTCCCGCTGGTACTCCGCCTGCTCCTGACGCAGGATCAGCTCGATGAACAGCTGCTGCAGCTTCTCGTTGCAGTAGTTGATGCAGAACTGCTCAAAGCTGAAAGGGGGGTCCCCGTGAGACGCGGGGGCTGGCAGCAGCGCACGCCCCCCCACCCTCTGCCACCCCCAGGCCCAGAGCTGAGAGAGTGTGGGGGCCGCGCGGTTTCTGAGCCGTGGGGGAGAGGTTCCGCACTCCAAGTAAATGTGCATCAGTTTGCAGAGGCGCATGATCCCCTCGGAGTGAAGCGAAGCAGCCAGGGGCCCGGAAACTTGGATTTGCTCACGCTGAACAGGCACGGCAAACAGGCCAGGAAGGGGGGGCACATGGGAACCAGAGGCTCTGAGGCTTCCTGCACATGTGAAAGCACACCCTCTCCAGTGAGGGACAGTCCATGTTCCTACAGAAATCCTTTCACCCTGACATTTCCAGACTTGCGTTTGCATAGAATCCGGGAGCTGAGAGGGGTCCTGGAGGTCATCTAGTCTCACCCCTGCTAAGCATGGGATGCTGACGGAGGGGCCATAGCACAGGGGTGCAACAGCCACTCTGTGTGCTGATGGTCTGGGTTCAGTCCCTGGCATCTCCTGGGCGGGCTTGAAACCCGCTGCTGAGCCCTTGAGGTCTGCTAGTGTGAACGATACGGGGCTACAGGGTCCCAGAGTCTGTCCTGGAGTGAAGCAGGTGCTGGCGGCCCTCCATCCCTGCGGCGACTTCGTCAGATGGCTGCACATCCTCTGGCGAAGGAGTGCTCATGTCCCCCATACCTGGGCAAAATCTTCCCTGGAACTGCCACCCACAATAAAAGGCCAAGATGTGGTGGGACAGAATCCTCCCTCGGGGCTGTGTATATGGGGGCATGCGTGCTCTCTCCCTCGTTCCCCCCTTTTCCCTATTTGAATCACCAGAGTCCGCTGATGTGCTTTAAATTTACAAAGCAGGGTGCATTCTCGGGATCTCTGAAACACCACTGAGCTGTGAAATGATTCCAGGTATTGAAGGATAAGGCCAAAATCTGGCATCGTTTGCAGGAATCTCAGCAGCTACCTGCTCCTCCGGGAACAGGTCAGCTCAGGAGGACAGTCCTCCTTTGCCCACCCCGACATTTTCCCCAGGTGAATTTATATCTACCTGTTGTTGTCAAAGATCTCAAAGCCATATATGTCCAGGACGCCGATCACCGTATTCTTGCCATGGATCCGGGCATCGTAGTCCTTTACCTCAATGACTGCATTGATACGGGCCACGATCCAGCAGAAAAGCCGCTCGTAAATGGCCTGCCGAGAAAGACACCGAGATGGGCGCCTCGTTTTTGCTTTGCTTTAGCTGCCGCCTGGAGCTTTCGGATTCAAGATGCTCTCCCCAAAACGCCTATTTCATGTACTTTTATTTTCATACGTGCATGAGAAGAGATGCATCTTGCACATAGGTTTCGGGGGGACAGAAAAAGCAGAAGGGATGGATAAAAGAAACAGCAATTCCGTTCAGACTAAAACGGAGTTTTCAGTGATATGGAGAAGGGAGAGGGTTGTGATGCGCTTCGTTTGCAGATGGGGGCCCATCGGGGTGCAGGGGATGACTAACCTCTTCTAGGCAGGGGCCTACAATTCCCAAGTCACCCTCTCGGGTTTGTTTGATGCCATTGGCTGGCTTGCTGTGATGTCACAGGGGGCTTACGCCGGGGTGGGGGGCTCAGGGAACAGCTGATGTGTCCTTGGCTGCCTTCTCTGACATCACAGAGGGACAAGGGTGTCTCAGGCTGGCTGCTGCGCACCACGGAAAATAGAAATCGGGGCTCCTTGGCCCACAACGGTGTACAGTTGCAGCATGTAAGCTGTGTTTATAAGCCACAAGCCCGGCGGGCCGTTCCGCAAACTTGATGGATGCTAGAGAAGCGAGCCAAGTTGTTCAGCTGTGGCTTCCAATGCATGATAAAACTCAAGAACTGCCAACTTGTCCCACAGGGACATGCAGCTACGTAGAATTGGCTTGATTTCCCGCTGGGAAGTGGGCCTGGCATTGCAATTGCCCTTTCATTGCGAGTTTGCATAAAGGCTTTCCTGAGCCAAAGGCGTGCGTTGGAAGTCGGCGTTCTGCTGGGCTCAGGACACGCCTATGGCTCCGATGGGAGGGGTCTGCCCCCCCACGACCCTGTGGGGGGCTGCCCTACAGAATCGGGGCAAGGGCTTACCTGCAGCAGCCCTCAGCCTACGAATCTCCCGGAGCTTGCACAGAGGGCAAAGCTGTGCACCAGTGGGGGAACCCTGCCACCCGGTGTCTGGAGTTGTGACTATTTCAACCACAAGGATGTTTTAACATTAACCAGAAATAACTAGTGCATTTGGAAAACAAAACACCCTCAGTGCACACCCCGGAACCCCCTTTGTAAGTGTGCCTTGTCTTCCTATTTTCCCACGATGGTGCCAAGGACCAGAAGGAGAGACGCACACCCTTGTTTCTTGTTATAGAGAGCCATTGTCCAGGTGTTGCCAAACGGAGCCCTGGTGTTCTTTCCGAGCACGCAGAAGGACTGTCAGCTGGAAGACACCCTGCCTCTTTCTCCACCCCAGACAGGAGGGGGGTCTTCATTTTCGTGGCTGTGTCTCGGTAGCCCATGGCCAGCAAGAAGGCCGCGGGCGCCTCCCCGACCAGTCGCCTACCTTGGCACACGCATCCCGGGCATAGTTGGCCTCGTTGGTGCTGTGGCGCTTCTGGATGACCTCTCCGCCCCCCGCGGCCACTGTCCGGTGCAGCAGCGTCTTCCGGAGGCTCTCGGGCTCCGTGGAGGTCAGCTCTGCCAGGTGGGACAGCAGCTGGCTGTCCTCGACCTCCATGTCGTCTTCCGTGGCCACGAAGGTCACGTTGCCCTGCACAGACCCAGGGGAAGAGGGACATTAGAACAACCTGGCGCCAGAGGGAGGATTCCTCTCAGAGGGTCACCCCGTTCCGCAGGCCGGTCTCCCACGGCTCACGGGAGACCCCTTTCCTCCCCAGGCCAAAGCTCCGCCTTTGGCAAGTCCCAGCCAGCTTGCGGTGAGCCTTTGCCAACAAAATCTCGGTTGGCCGTTTGCGCACAGGGCATCTGCTTATGCACGGCCGAAACAGAGGGCCTTCACCCCTGAACGAGGGGAGAAAACAGGACTTAATGCCAAAAAGTGTCTATTTGCTAGTTCACAAAACGAGATGCAAATTTGGCGTGTGATAATAGCAACGTAAATGGAAGTCCTGCACATTTCCCCATCGTCTGGAAGATGCTGCAGGAACAAGCGGCCATCGGTGGGAAGGGCTCTGGCATTTTGTTTTGAATCTTTAAGCCGGAGTTGGGCCGGCCAGCCGTGCCAGAAAAGGGCACCTCCGGGCAGAGGATGGTTCCCCATAACAGAGGGCACCTGGCTGTCCTATTGGCACTTCTCCAAAAAATGAGGAGACCCATTGTCAAGAAAGAAGACAAAGAGGAAGATGGCACTGTGGGGGATTTTTGGAACATGCTTTCGCCATGTTTTAAGAATAACACGTAAGTTTGGAGAAGATCCCTCCAGTCTTGCCAAGGGCCATGTACAGAAATGCACATTGCTGGGCTGGGGAGCCAGACAGCCGCACAAAGCTCTCAGGGAGTTTGCCTGTGGCTCTCAGAATCGCAGGGCCCTCCGGAGGCTGCAGGCCCAGCGCTTCCCGCCCAGACTGCCCCTCTGGGGATCTCTTCCTTCCAGAAGGTGCACGCGAGTTCAGCAAGCGAGGGATGGAGTGGCCGAGAGAGGAGGCATTTGGGCACCCAAAGGCCTTCTTGGCCCCTTCCAGCTCTACTATTCTGAGTCTACCCATGGAAAGCTGCAGGTTCCAACTAGCGCCGACAGCCTCTCCCCAGCTGACTTTTCTGACGGCTTTGAGCGAAAGGGTCCCCCATGCCCGCATTGGAAAAAACCCACCCCACACAACAGATTTCCCCCCATTTGCGGCCCCTTTGGCTCCCTTGCGGTGCCAAGGAACAGCACCCAGCAGGACAAACCCCCTTTGTTTACCAAGTGTAAGATGGCCGCCAGGATCTTGTAGATGGATGCCATCTCGTCGGAAGTGAACCCGATCACCTTCATGGCATTGGCAACGGCTTGATAGTTGGATCTATCGCTGTCCAAGGACTAGAGAGAGAGATCCAGTGTGGGGAGGAAGGCACAATTGGAAAGGGATCCAACAGAAGGTGGCAGCCATGAGATACAAACACTGCGTTTTCCTGATGCCCAAAGAGGAATAGGGCATCTTCTGCGAACCAGCAGCCGTTCCGTAGATTCACGAGCTGATCGATCGCTGCGTGAAATGTTTGTGTGAGTCCACCTGGCGCCTTCCAAACACGTTGGACTGCAACACCCATCGCCCTCCGACTAACAGGGCCATCCTGGCTGGCAGGATGGGAGATGGAGTCCAAAGCCCCTGGAGGGCTGTGGCGGCTGCGCTTGTTTCCACTCGTGGTTTCAAGTTATAATGGGCAACACCTCAGCTCAGGGCTGCATAGAAAGGAAATCAGCCCATTGAGCTGAGATGCGAGCAAACAAGGCCGGTGTTACGGGCATGTCCTGTGCCTTGGTCCCCAGCACCTCGCAGGATTGGCATCAGGTTGCCACATTTCTTTGCACTCCTTGCTGAGAATGTCAGCGCTTCTGGCTTGGAAATGAAGCAACGGTGCCACGCAGCGGCCGTTTGGGGGACTGAAGGAGCAGCGATTAGCCGAACCCCCCCCACCACCCCTGCATATTCACCGGGGAGCAACCCCAGTGCCCAGCTTCCAAAACTGAAATGCGCCCGTGGATTCAGGAACGGAGCCTTCCCTTCTCTCATTTGTTCATGCCGACCAATCAACCCTCCACGTTGGCGCTGAGGGCTGCGGTGTCTGAAAAGTCAGGGGCAAAACCCTGAAAATGAGTGCAGTTATCCCTCCACGAGAGCACAGGAAGGGCCGGATCAGAGCTGCCGGGCCTCTCGTCCGGCGCTCTGTCCCCACGGTGGCGAACCAGCTGCTCGCAGGATCCCCCGAGCAGGATGGGTGCCAGGCCCCCCGCCGCCCAAGCTCCTCGGCTGCTGGTACACGCGGGTCAGCTGCCCCTGCTCAAGGAGGCAGCCCACGGCCAGCAAGGCCAGCAGCACAGGTCGCCTCCTCCCCGTGAGTCAGTCCAGCCCCACTTCAACGCCGTCCAGGTTGGCGGCCATCGCCACTTCCCGTGGCAGCCAATTCCACGGTCGGACCGCACGCTGTGAGGAGAGCTGCTTCCTCTTCTCTGTCCTGGACCTCCCACCCATCAGCTCCTCAGGGCGGTCCCGGGTTCAAGGGTTATGGAAGAGGGAGAAGACTCCCTCTCTGCACAGGTCACCTTCTGCCTGGACTCCTGCAGTGTCTTTCACGCGAGGCCCCTCGGATGATGGTCTGGAAGAGTCCCCGTGGCCCATACATTCTTGCCTGAGTGTTCAGCCCACCAGGGGATGATGGAAGTGGTGGTCCAACACACCCGGACGGCACTTTGAATCCAACTGCATCGGTACTTACATGGCTGTCGGTGCCCTCTCTAGTGAACCTGTAGCTGGAGGGATCCTTGCAGAGGTGGAGAGAACGCAGCGAAGCGTCCGAGGCGCCGAGGAGCAGCTGGGAGACAAGGTGAAGCGGAAGCCTTTACTCAGACAGTCGCGCAGGGCAGGGCAGGGCAGGGCGACGTGATCCGAGAAGGACGGAAGTGGGAGCCACAGACACAGTGTCATCAAGGCGGGCAACACGTGGGCCGCACGGGGCCCCCGGGGGAGTTTTGTGTGGCTGGCAACCAGCTCCTGCCACCCGCCACCCGGCGATTCTGCGATCGGCGAGGGGTCCAAATCCTTCTTTCTGGGCACCAAAGGACTCCCTCCTTTTTATTCTCCCGGTATTTCAATTGTTAGTTTGTTCTAGTGGAGGGTTTACATTTTAAATTTGGATGCTGGGCGATTGTTGCTGTTATTCTCGTTTTTGTTTTGTTTTGCAATCATTTGCTGTAAACCATCGGGAGACTTTTCAGTATGAGACGGTATAGAAAAGTTCTAAATACGTAAGTAAGTAAGAGCAGCAGGCAGGGGAGTGTAATGCTTTGCTTTACTCTAGCGTAAGTAGCAAAGGTCCTGACCTGGCAGCAATGGACGTGTTCTTATATTCAATACTTTTTTCACCACTGGGTGAGGAGTATAATTTGATGGGGAAAAAGGGGGCGTGGGGAGGGAATTAGCCCCTTACAAATGATGCACTTAACAAAGCTGCGATTTAAGCCCCGAATACCAAGAAATGGAGGAAGAACAAGGAGAAATGGCACCATCTTGGGCTCACCTGATAGAAAGCATGGAAGTTCCTTTCGCCCGGTTGCTGTTTAATGATGCGAGACTGCAAAGGGAGAAGAGTGGGTCACGTGAAAACGTTTCTGCAGGGCATTTTACTTTCCAGCCAAGAAGGACTCTTGCTGACACCCGACCGCAAAACTGTTAAAATGGTGCACCTTTGTCATACCAAGTCTCTGGAAATTTGTAGAAATTTCTATCCTGCACAGAAAGCAGCATCCTGAAACCTGGGCAGAATCTGGGGAATTTCTCTTTTGATTTACAACCAAGCTTCTAGGTCTTAGTGTCATGGGGGGGGGGGGGGACACTTCAAACTGCATTGCACAAAATGGAGACATGCTGGGGTGTAGGGTTGGTTTTTAATTCCAGACCTCTTTTTTTTTCTTGCTCTGCTCAGGGTTGAATGCAGGGATGGAAATACATTCCTGATTCTTATTTAGTTGCTATTTCAAAAACGAATATTTTAATGTTCAACAGTTGCTTTTTATTTAACCTATTTAACTTAAATTTCCTGGTTATTTGTTATTTATTATATCGATATGGTTGTTTTATTGTGTTTTTGTTTTAAACCTTGTAAGCCATCCTGAGATGCCATGCATAAGGGACAGCATATAAAAGTTTTAAATAAATACATAAATACATGAATTTTCTGGCTTAAATTTCGTTTCTCCTCCACGTCCCTTCTGACAGTAAGAGTTCTATGATTCTGCTGCTGGAAGAATTTTCCTGCATAATGTGGGGTGAACTGCCGGCACTAACACCCAGGTGCCAAGGAAATATGAGGAATCTGGGAGGGGAAACAAAATCTGACAGATTTTCCTGGGCTGAGCGGGCTTGCAGGCTTCCATCTCTAAGATGGAACGTGAGGTGCACATCCTTGGAAATACCGGTGAAATTTGTGCAAAGGAGCACCTGGAAACTTCGTGGATCTACTGTGATTTGGGCAGCATTGGCTCAATGGAGCAAATGGAGAAAATCTTTTGCACAGATCACACGGAGCCTCAGAGTTTCCAGACGCTTTTTTCAAATTTCACTGGCATTTAGAGCAATGTACACAGTCCATCCTGCAGGTGGGAGCTCACAACCTGCCTCCACCCAACTTGGCCTGCATCCCATCCCACCCAGTCCAATCCAACCAACCATCTAAATATGCATCTTCCAAATGCATTGGACTGCAGCTCCAATGTTCTTGCTGGCTGGGCATTAAAGAAGCTGCCATCCAACATATCTGGGGAGACACAGATTAGGAAAGGCTGCACTGTGTGGAAAAGTTTCTTCAGCATTTCCAGAACCCCTCTGAGAATCACAAACCCATCCATACCTGCCTCCCCCTACGATCTGGGGCAGAGGTCCTTCTGCAGGAGCCCTCCTTGAAGGAGATCAGAAAGCGGCTACCCAGAGAAGGGCCTTCTTGGTGGCGGCACCCCGGCTCCGAGAGGCGTGTCTGGCCCCAACACTTTTTCATCTTGGTGCGAGGCCAAAAGCTTTTTATTTTCTCCATTTTTAAAGTGTTCGTGTGTTTTAAGATGGGGGTTTATCTGATGTAATTTGTTTGTGGTACTTATTTCATTGTGTGGCCTGGGACTTTTAGTGAAGGACCGTATAGAAATACTAGAAGGAAGGAAGGAAGGAAGAGCGAGCGAGCGAGCGAGCGAGCTGAAATGCTCGCTGGAAGAGGTCAGCGCATGGCAGGCGACTACGTCCCCCCCCCACTCACGGCACCTTCTCAAGAAGATAGTTGTTGATGTGCCCGCCCGTGGGGTCCCCTTTGAAGTCGAAGTTGATGTCCATGTATTTCCCAAACCGGCTGGAGTTGTCGTTGCGGTTGGTCTTGGCGTTGCCAAACGCCTCCAGGACACAGTTGGACTGGAGCAAAACGTTCTTCACCCTGCGGGGAAAGAGTGCCAGGGTGGAATTGGGGGGCAGGAGGCGAGGGAAGCGAGGGAGGAGCGATGCCGCTTCAGCGTTCGAAAAGGCCCGGGGGGGCAGCCCGAATGCAGCGGCGTCCAACAGCTGGAGCTTTTTGCGTCGCAAACAGGCGCGCGGGGCAGGCAGGAGGGGGGTGTTTGAAGGGAAGCAGGGGGGCGGGAAGCCCGGGGGGACCCGTCTCTCTCCCTCTCCCTGGCGGGGGGCTCCCGATGCAGCTCGCAGGGAAGAGCCGGGAGAGGTGAGAGAGCGGTCTTCTTCACGCGGCGCATTGCTCAGCTCCGGCGTCCGCTTCCCCGGATGCCGTGGTGGCCACCCAACCGGGTGGCTTGAGAGGGGGACTGGGGGGGCTCCTGGAGGAGGGAACGACCCGTGGCTACCAGCCCCGGTGGCCCCGAGCCAGCTCCAGGGGCGGGCCGGGGGGCCAGCGCAAACCAGTGGGTGGGGAACACGGGCGGGAGGACACCCTGTCCTGCTCGTGGGTCTCGCATGGGCCAGGCCAGGCCAGGTGACCCGCAGCCAGGCCGGGCAGGGCTCTCCTGGTGCGCTTGTGCAGCAAGGGCCTGGCCGGCAGGGAGGCCCAGGCGCCGGACGCCCCCCACCGCCCGATGCTCTGGGGAGCACCTCCTCTCGTCTGAGGATCCACTCCCGGGAGAACCAGCAGCCATTCCTGCAGGCCGGACCAAGCAGAGGCCTTCCCCTTGCCCCCGCAAGCTGCCTCTTTTTCCTCTTCCTCTCCCTTGCCCCCTCTTTTTTCCTTGTGTGCCGTGCCCTTCTGGAGCAACCCCATGCATGTTTGGCCAGGGAGCACCCTAGGACGCCCAGGGTGCCCCAGCCGGCACCCTTGCAGGGCAGCCCCCCGTGCAAACAGGCATCCCAGTGAGACGGGATTGGCTTACCTGCACTCGTGTTTCTCCAGAGCACAGGTGAGCCAATTCAGAAGTGCTTTTGCCTCAAGCTTGGAGCGAACCACCTTCTGACAAGGCACTCCGGTGAGCGGAGGCCCCCGTGGCCGCAGCCAAGAACCCCTGGGAGTCTGCCGGCACCCCGGCACCCCTGGGCTGCTCACCTTTCCACCTCAGCCCTCTGGGTGGGATTCGTGATGGCGGCGATGTAGTGCATGATGTACTTGCTGGCCTCCGTCTTCCCCGCGCCGCTCTCGCCTAGGAGACCAAACAGGGCATCACGGAAGGGGGCGCCGGCGGGGGCACTCTCTGCGGCGGGGGAGATGCCGCCTGGCGCAGAGGGGAGCCGCTAATTTGGTCTGTGGGCATTTCAGGAACTCTCCTGGGCACTGCCACAATATGGGGGTGATCAGAGACCTGGCAGGGGCCGGGCAGCCTGTCCCAAAGACCGAGGGCAAGAGCGGAGGCAGGGGGAGAGTCTCGGCTCCCTGAACAAATCCCTTCGGCACGCCATTCTCAGCACCGATACAAAGTCGTCTCCCCCCAGGTGCTGCTAACAAAATTAATTGCAAAAAGAGGAAGGAGCAGGCACCTTGGTGGGCACCACACACAATGACTGTATCTGTGAACAGAAGAAGGAGTCCTGTGGCACCAAGACATCATCCAAGGAATTCCCAGATTTGCCATCAGAGACCATTCCCTTTGCTCAGGCCTGGGAAAAGGGTCTCTGCCCTGCCTCCACTGCAGAAAGAACTGTGCCAGATGCTCTCCAAGGTCAGAAAATCAAGATCGGAGGGGGGCATGTTTCGGGGGACTGGGAAGGGAGGAAGGCCAGGATATAAGCGATCCTGGAATCTCCCATTTCCTCCCTCCAAGGTGCTCTTATTAGACAGGCCAAAAAGCTCATCTACCAAAAACACAAGGTGGGGGACAGACAGGTAAAGATCCCTCCAGGTCTGGGGCTTCCTGCCATCACCAAAGGATGGAGCCCTAAATTATTTTTTAAAAAAACTTGAATCAGCTCAAAAGATGCCTTGCTTCAGGTCAGCTGATTATACTTTTATCTGCCGTGGAAAAAGGATTCATGTGTCTTATTTCCAAACTCTCCCATTTACTCTTATGCAAATGTGATCAATAAATTAATCAACGAGGATCCTGTGCCATCAATCCACTAAGGTTTCTTCCATTGGCAAACCGCGATACAAGCTGCAAAGGCCAGTGGGAATCAGGGCAACCCAGCCACACCTGCGTGATGGCGATGCAGACAGGTGCCTGGGGAAGGTGGCAAGGGTGCGGTACCTGAGATGACGATGCAGGTATCCTTGGCTCGACGCTTCATGGCCTTGTAGGCCGCGTCGGCCACTGCGTACAGGTGGGGGGGCCTCTCGTACAGCTCTCGGCCCCGGTACTGCTCAATGACGTCCTTCCCGTAGAGCTCCATCTGCTTGTAGGGGTTCATGGAGACCACCACCTCCCCGATGTAGGTGTATATGCGCCCCTTCTCAAACCTTTGGGGAAGCAAAGAAGCCACCGTCAGGGAGGACAAGCGCCGAGCAACCACGATGGTTCTCGGTCTTCCTGAAGTCCACACTGATTTATAAACAGAGGGGGAGGCATGGATTTTGTCACAACACCATCTTTCTTAAAAAATAATAGGACTCGGTAGTAACACTGGAGGTGGCCTGATTTCCTGGTCTGTAGAGGACAATCCTTTGTCTGAAGGCCAGTCTGGTTTAAGCCTGGTTTAAATTGAAGAGCACTAAAGCCAAGTAGCGGGGAGAGGGTTGGGCCCTGAACAGCAGGTGAGGAACTCACCTGGCCACAGACCTTCCCACCAAGGTGAGATGCAGACACTCAGTTCACACGTGACAATCCACACGCAGGGCTGAGTACGGGTTGAGCAGGGGTCGGCACTGACCCAGGAGCCATTGGACTGTGTGAACTCAGCCACACAAACAAGCCAGGTTGTCAACCACAAACAACCCAGGAACAGAACTCCTGATTGTGGTCCACTCGTGGTTAACAAACTGCGGTTTGTTTGCATGCTGTGGCTCACACAGCGCAACAACCCAGGTTTCAGCAAAAGCCCATGGTCCCACAATGAGCCATGCTCAACACATAGTCAACCCTCAGGCGTGGGCTGCCGTGGCGCATGGGTCGCAGAGATTACCACACTCTGCACACACGCGCATCTCCTTTTTGGCTTCCTTGGGCACGATGGCATGAAACATAGTGCACACAAAATATCGCACCGCCGTCCCATCTGCATGCTTCCTTAGGACCTCTCACCCATTGCATGTAAAAGATGAGCAGAGGGCAAACATTTATGCTAAATGTGGAGCATTTCTGTTCCTCATCGCTTCAAGAGTCCTTTCCCAGCTCAGGATCGGACCCACACAATGGAGATTTTCACTGCCAATCTGGAATACCTCCCTTCTTGGGGACGGGGGCGGGGGGGGGGCACGTTTCCTGCCCTGTCTGATTTTCACAAAATTACGATTACGATCTCGGTTAGAAGGCCAGCAGGCTGCAAAGCAAAGTGCCAGCCTCCGGTGCCCTTTTCATTTCTAAGCATTCCCCGGAAATGCCCAAGCTGTAGGGGTGCCCATTTGATTAGTTCTCATCTGTACGTGCCTGACTAGGAACACACTGGCACCCTCCCACCCATGTTCCCCAGCAAGGCTCCACACAGGCACACTGACTCTGACACCGGCGCCTTGCATAGGACGAGTCATGATGGACACTTCAGCCTGAATTTGTCCAATCCCCTCCCAGGCCAGGGCATACGCTGATCTGAACCGGTCCTCCCTTCCACCTGCCCTGAAGCTCCCACCCATCTGCTTCCTGAGACGACCACTTCGCGTTCTGCCATTATGGGAGGGGGAGAGAAAGGTCTCCCTCCACATTCCCCACACCAGGCATCGTTCGAACCCCTTGGTCCTGTCTCGCTTTGCTCATCTTTTTCCCAAACCAGGCGGTCCCCAGCGTTGCACCTGGCCGGGGTGGGGGGGGGGCGGGGGGGGCACTGCCCTCCGCAGAGCATCTGATTTCCCCTTTGCAGCCCCTTTTCACCTCTACATTTCCCTTTTTTAGGTGTGGCAACCACAACTTCACACAGTATTCTAAGTGAGGTTGCATGATAGGTTTGTACAAGTGTTATTTTCAATTCCTTTTGTAACTGCGGGAAACACAGCGCTTGCCTCGTTCGCAGCACCCACACACTGGGCCGGTATTTTCGTCCAGCTGCCCACCACACGAGCTGAGCTCCCTTTCTTGGCATCTGTGAAGCTCTGTTGTTTCCAGCTCCGTATGCATCACTTTAGACTCGGTCTAAAGCCACATTTGCTCTTTTCTTGCCTATTCGGGGAAACGGGGGCTCGTGTCAGAGTGTGCTGCTCAGCACAGCTGTTTTGTGACATCAGCTGAAAGACTTTTTCAAGATTCCCAATCTGCCCATCGGGCCGGGGAGAACCCAGACATCACCAAGAAACTAGCATGGCCTGCCAGTGTGAAATCTGCGCTTGTGGTGAGCTGTTTTGAGCACAGCCAAATGAAGCTGCTTTGATCAGACATCTGTGAATTAGCTGGCTGTTGCCCTTTCTGCGGTATCAGCTACCTAACAGAGGTAGAGATGGGCTTTATCTTAATCATCCCCAGCCACAGATGTGTGGGGACCACAAGGATTATGGACTCCACCCTAGAATCTTAAAGGAGCTGGCAGAAGAACTCTCAAAAGCACAGTCTATTATCTTTGAGAAATCATGAAAGACGGGGAAGAGCCGGATGACTGGAGAAGGACGAATATTGTCCTTATTCTCAAGAAAGAGAAAAAAAAGATGAACCAGGGACTGCAGACCAGTCATTCTGACATCCATCCCTGGGGAAATTCTGGAGCGCATCAGAAAGCAGTCAGCTTGCAAACATGTTGAAAACAATGCAGTGGTTCCTAGAAGCCAACTTGGATTTCTCAAGAACAAATCCTGCCAGACCGATCTGGACTCATTTCTTGACTGGGTACCCTCCCTGATGGACTGTGGGAATGCTGTGCATATAATCCAGCCTGACTTCAGCAAAGCTTTTGGCAAAGAGCCCCATGCGATCCTGGAAATAAAATAAAATGAAAATAGATAAAAGTAGGCTAGATAGAGCAGTTGGCTGCCAAATCGGACACGAAGAGTGCTCATCAACGGCACCTTCTCCAACTGGGGAGCGATAGCAAGTGGGGTCCAGTCCTGGGCCCAGAGCGCTTCAACGTTTTATTGTTTAGATTAGGAAGGACAGGGGAGAATGATCAGATCCGCAGATGACACAAAACCGGGTGGGACAGCTAACACCCTGGAAAGCAGAAACAAGATTCAAGGTGATCTTGACAGGTTGGAGCGCTGGGCTGAGAACAAGGGAACGAAATTCAGGGGGGCAAATGCCAAGTTCTGCGCAGAGACAAAAGAAACGAAATACATCATCACAAGATGGGAAACACTTGGTAGGACGATATTAGAAGCGAGAGGGTTCTCGGAATTTTTGTAAATCGCAAGCTAAATGTGAGTCAACAGTACTTTGAAAAATGGCAACGCGCTAGTTCCCCTTTCCTCAGCACTGGCGAGACCTCATCTGGAGTCCTGAGACCAGTTCTGGGCACCAGGTTTTAAGAAAGATGCAGACCAGCTGGAAAGGGGTCAGAGGAGGGGAACCAGGGGCTGGAGACAAAGTCCCATGAGGAGAGATGGAAAGAGCCGGGCACGTTTCCCCTGGAGAGGAGAAGGCTGGGATGACGCTCCGGAAGGCTGTCAGGATGTCTTTCTGAGCATTCCAGGACATGGAGCAATGGACTAAAGTTGCCAGAAAACCAAATGCTGGCTAGATATCAGGAGAAATGCCCTGACTGTTACAGCAGTACAACAGCAGGACCCCTGGCCTGGAGGCATTCAGGATGCAACTGGACAGCCACCCGGGAGGGCGGGTTGAACCAGGCGCAGGGGCTGCACCTGATGACCCCCTGCCCCTTCCAGCGCCACGATTCTGCGATGAGCACATGGCTGAACTGAATGCGCTCAGTCACCACCAGATGTCCAGAATAGCACACGTATTTCCCTCTTCCTTCCCCCTCTGGGTTTTCCCACATCGTCAGGTTGAACCTACAGACCACGGTAATGAGTAGTACTTAGCTGAAGAGTCTTCTTTAAAAAAACCCAACAACCCTACTCTAGAGTAAGTCTGTGCAGCCCTGAGGTGTACTGGGTCCCCAAAGAATTCAGAGGGAAGCGGCGTGGCTTCCCCTTCCACAGCCCTGTAGGAGCAGCTTGCCAAGAAAGCAGAGACCTCCAGGTGGGGGCTTTTTTTGAAAGCCCCTCCCCACCAGCCACATTTTGTGCCCTTTCGTCTCTTGGACACTCCCCACGGGGTTGGCTGGCCATGGGGCTATCCTGCAGGACGCTGGGGGCTGGTTCCATGCAGAACCCCCCCCCCCCCGCAACACACCCGGCTTCCGTCTTGAGCCAGGCGTGCGCCTCGCCTTCTACGAACGGCAAGAAAATGGATTCCAGAGTCCAGGATTAACCCCGTGGCTGCTCCGTGGGGCGAACTGACCACCGGTTTCTCGCTGAGCATCACGAAACAGACGTCCGTCCTCATCACTGGCACAAAGCTTTTGGGAGCGGAAAGATGCTTGATGTTGCAAAGGTGTGTTAAGATGGCCTTGCCTTTGCGACACTGACAACTGGCGCCCGGCACATGTACCGAGCTGTCACTCACACCATCCCCAGTGGAGATACTGGCTGAGGATGCTGGGAGTTGTAGTCTTGCGCCTTTGGAGGGCAGTAGGTGAGGGAAGACCGACTCAGAACGTCCTGGTGACATCTCATCAGTGGGAGTCTAACGGAGAAGAGGCGGTTTCCTGGTGGGAGAGGAACGTGCGTGCTTGATCTCGGGATGAGACTGGTGTTGGAATTGGGGGCGGGGGCATTCACTCACCACCCCAGCTAAGGAGGGGGGCAGGCATGGGCACTGATGCAGGAAAACTGTGGGAAGAGAGTCAGAAAAGGGCAGAGGGTTCTAGCTGGAAGCAGGAGGCAGCCGAAAGCTAACTGGACTATCCCAGTGCTCGAGGGAGTGCACGCCCCACGAGCCACGGGTGCGGTGGAGCCAAGGCTCACGAGGGCATGCGCCGGGGCTTTGCTGCTAGCAAGAAGAGCAGCGTTTCCTGGGCCCTCCCTTGCATTTTCTGTTCCTCCTGAGCTTAGCTGAAATTCCCACTGCCCTGGGAGGGAAACGGCGTCCTGTGCGAGATCCCCATTGCATGCGACGTATCTTGGGGTGGCCCGATTCTGAATGGCAGCTGAACCCAAGAACTTTACGAGGCCTCCTCCTGGCAAAGCTCTGTAAAAGCCTAACGCTGCCAGAACTGGTCCGTTGACGTCATGAGCAGGGGGTTCCTCACCAGCCTCGGGGAGCTGGAAACTCTTGCAAAACTTCATGCTGGAAGTCTTGCTCTGTTTGGAGACACGGGTTCAAGCAATAGGATAGCCCATTGCCAAGGGCCGCTACAGGGCTGAATGTAGGGTGCGGCTCCGCTGTGGGCCATCATGTTATCTGAACTTAGCTTTGATAACAAGCCATGCCTTGTTCAACTCAAGTGCCCATGAAGAGAACCACGGTTCGTTGCCGCTTGCAAACCGTAAACAGCAGGTTGCGCCACAAGGCTCATTCGCTGGGCCCAAACATCACGAGAACCTGCGTTCCCACAACCAGTGCTTTTTTTGTCATATAACGCACCGGAACAGAGTTCTGGCACCTTTTTTTGACAGATTTTCCAAGTTTTAAAAATAACTTTTGAAAATGTGATGTTTGGTCCACATGGATTTGAATCGCCCTGTCGAGCATAGCAGGTCAGCGGCAAAACATTAAAACGGTGCGTGCGCACTTCGTCTGCGCTGGTTGTGATGGTGCTGCTCAGCTTGTGACGCTGCTCGGCTTGTGACTGGTCATGTGGTTGCACACTGAGTGGTTACTGCATGTGGCGACCATTATGTTTCGTTACACAACTGTAACAAGTGTGGGTGTGTGTACATTGACTGACTACGTGCGAAAGGTAAATAATTTCATGAGTTCCGGCACCCTTTTTCTTACAAAAAAAGCACTGCCCAGAACAATCCATGGTTCAACAACAACCATGTTGCTAAACCCAGTGATTGTGTTGTGTTGCCAATGTCAACACAGTCATTCTTGCAGCTCCTGACACCCAGCAGCGAGTTCCTTGGGGTTGCCTCTGGTTGCAAACAGAGAACAGAAAGAAACCAGCTGAGGAGATGCCAGGTCCGATCTCCTGCCAGAAGCAAGCAGGGCCAGAAAGGGGAGCGATGCCCAGCATCCCGCCAACTCGCGCCTGGCCTCTGCACCCACTGCTGCCTCCTTGTACACCTCCCCTCGTCTCTTCGCCTGGCAGCCTCATGCAAGGACTGGCACAGTCCCCGTCTCCTCGCCGTCTCCCAGGGCACCCGAGTTAACCACCCCAGAGAGTGAAGCAACCAGGTTTCTTCCTGCATCTGTGTCATACATCAAAGCCTGTGCTAAAATTGAGAAATTGGCACCTTCCTGTAAGCAGAGAATATTTGGCTGACAGGAAACTTACGCAGCCTGTCAACAGAGGCCGACGATGGAATGAACGAGAAAGGCTAAGGCTCTGCTTGAAAGATATGCAGGGATTCCTTCTCTGAACCTTCATTCTCCGACCACCAAGAACCGCCTGCTCCCCAAGAACTCATCCTGATCCATGCATTAAAAGCTTGCCGCTTGGGGCCGTCATGGTCTGCTGTGTGGTGGCACCAAAACTGCAAAACGGGCTCCTTGAAAAGGGCAAGCAGGTAAGGTTTGCCTGTTCCAGCCGCCGTTCATTTTTGAGGGCCAGGGGGCCGGTTTCAGGCCATTTAGGTGCCGTGGAGCCACATGACACGCCGTGGACAGGAAAAATGCATGCATAGAACATTACAGCGCGGCCCAGGAGGAGCCCACCCTGGCAGGGCATGAGCGCAGCGAAAGGTGCATCCGACAGGTGAACAGGTGAGGCAGCTGGGCCACTGTGCCAGTGCTCACGAGAAGGCTCCCACCGGTGGGTCTGTGCCAGGGAGCCTGCAGGGATGTGAACTGCACCCACGGTGCCGGTGGGGATGGTGGGGGCCCCGCCAGGGCCAGAGATCCGAATCTTTCATTCGGGGCCCCCCATCTCTGTGAGGCCATGGACTGGGGCAGGCTGGGAGCATCTCTAGTCGCCTTTCTTTTCTTTTTTAAGAGACCCAAGCCGGCTTACAGAAACTCTGTTAAAAAGTATAAAGTATGAAGAAGCTAAAAACAACACACAAGGGCTGGTTCAGACCAAGCCGTTTCTTTTGATTTTGCTTACAGTTAAATATTGCATTGATTGCATTGCTCTGTTGTATTTGTTTGGAATATGCATTTCTGTTGTATTGTAAGCCTCCCAGAGAGCAGGGATGGGCTCCGGGGCTGCGTACAAATGCAATGAATGAACGGATGAAAATGAAATTAGTGATGTCATCATTTAATAAAAAAAGGCCTTCCTTTGATTGGTCTGGAATTTCCCACAGACGGAAGCAACGACCACTGAAAATGCACAAGAAATGCCACGATTCACATGGTCCCTCCCTGGCTGCCACTGCCATGAAAAGGACTGGCATTTTCCTACCAAATTAAACGATACTCACAGGCAAGCTCACTCGCCTCCCTGCGAAATCAACCGAAGACGGGATCGCGCCCCTGTACCCCGCCTGCTCCGGAGCAACTCCGCAGCTTTCAAGCTAAGGTGTCCTATGCGGCTGTCCTGGTCCCCTGCTCAGGGCTGGATCCCCAAGCGAGTGCTGTCCAGCCTCTCCCGGAGGACTTCCAGTGAGGGAGAATGGGCTGGGGATGCTGGGCGTTGCAGTCCAACACCTCTGGAGGCCACCGAGGGCAAGAATGCAGCTTTGGACTCGGTTGTAGCAAGACACGAAATACCAGCCATGTGGACAGAGAGCGGGAGATGCCCTGTGCCCTGGAGCTTTAAACCCGCAGGATGCAGCTGATGGCTGGAGCAGGAGAGGAGCGGCTGGTGCAGATGGGCCCATGGCCACGATCCAGCAGGGCTTTTCCTGCGCCCTCAGGCTAGGGCCAGCGAGCATCCGTCCAAGGTCACTCACACCCGGCTGGAAAGCAACATGGCGGCCAGGCCACCCTTCCCCTGGCCCTGCCGCCTGTGCCACCTACCTCTCTCAAGGAGTTACCTGAGCTTCAGGTTGCCTGTGAAGTCCTCCATGGTCACGCGGTCCAGGAGGACAAAATCCGCCTTCCCGAACTCGAAGCTCTCTTGCTCGGCCATCCTTCCTGGAGAAGGGAGGCTGCCCGGCCCCTGGCAGAAGCAGACGGAGAGGATCAGGGTCCCCACGGGCGGCTAGGACTCACTGGCAGAGCAAGGAGGGATGACTCAACCCGACACGGAAGGTTCCTTTTCGGAGAAGAGGGTGGGGTTCTGTGGCTAGCAGGCAGAGTTTTGAGCTGTTCCGGATGTCGGCAGGATGCTTCCTCCAGCAGATCGGGGGGCAAATGCTCACAGCTTCGCTCGTTCCGGAAGACCATAAATAGCGATGGTCTCCAACCGGCGCCCCCAGGAGACCCTGTGGGCTGGGAAGGCCCCGAGATGCCCCTCAGCACATCCACAGGCTGTTCAAAGCAAGGAAGCAGGGCTGTGGGCTTGGGCTCCTCTTCCTTTATCACCACCACCACCCTAATAACCTCTTGGGGGCCTCTTGGGGCAGAGGGGAACTGCCCCAGCCCTGGGGATCTTGCCGGAGGAAGGCTTCCAGCAGCTGGGGGGGGGTACCCAACGATCAGGAAGCAACACAGCAGGGCAAACGGCACACGCATCTGGGCCACCCAGTGACTCTCTAACCGGAACTGCTCCACCTTACTTTCATACCGTCGCTTTGAAAGGACTGTCCTCTTCGGCTCTTCTCCTCCTGTCTTTGTCTGTGCACTTTTGGCTTGCGGTTAATCATGTCACTTCCTCTTTCGAGAGCAACGCGCTTGCAAATGGAGAAGAGCCGCTGCAGCCTTCGCGAAGAGCTTGCTTGGCCAGCTGTTCTGGTGACAGGTCAAGGCCTGGGGGGGCTGATGGAAGCACTTTGCCAAGCAACAAAAAACCCACACAGGATGTAAAGCAGAGGTGTGCCGCTTTTCTCACCAGATGGCTGAGGCTACAGGTCCCATCAGCCCTACTCAGCACAGCCAGGGGTGTTTTAATAAATAATAATTGGTTTTATCTGGCCAGGGCGGCTTATTTTATACTGTACTGCTGTATTTTAATTTTATATTTATATTTTAATTTATATTATAATTATTTTAACTTAATGATGTGAGCCGCCCCGAGGCTTCGGCGAATGGGGCGGCATAAAAATGTTTTAATAAATAAATAAATAAATAAATAAAATAGGAGTTGTCGCCACAGCATCGGAAGGCACTCCACAAGCGGCCCACCTGGAAAGAGGCGGCATTCTTAGGTGGCCAGGGTGACCTAGGTCCTGGGGACCATCTCCCCCAACATGCTTTGATGGAGCGCATTTCCATCTAAATTATAATTAACTCTAATCTTTCAGCTGTACATAGAAGTCAACATAGACAAACATCAAGGGAATTATGGCCCTCTTTGGACTTGCTGCAGTGACGCAAGTCTTTTTTCCGGTTCATGGGCAGCCACCTGAAACGTGGCGCCTTCCGATCTTTCTGGCGGCGTTCGCCCTGCCAACTTACTGAGCCGCCTCAATCCACACGGAGAGTGGGGGCAGCCCAGGTACACCAGGTCAACTGTGGGGGGGGGGGAGCACAGATGTTCTTGGACACTTGGCATCCTTGGAGGACTCGCAATAAGGACTTCAGATGAGCCCATGCGCCTGTGCTCAGAAACGTCCAGAGAGCCATGCTCAAGTTTGGACTAGCAAGTTCCCGACTTTCGCGAGCCCTCTCCACATTCAGGCGCCCAACCTGAAGGGGAGGACAAGCTTACATCGATGTTTTAAAGCAGGAATTCCCAACGAAGCTTCCATTGTGGGGGTTCCCCAGCAGTGCTCAGACGCCTGGAAACGGCTTTTTTCAAACATGCAGTTCTGTATGAAATACATACAACTTTGGGGGCTTCCAACAAGAGTGAGCCAGCTAGCTGGGAAGTCATTGTTTCAAGGGGGGTATCCCTACATCACCCACTCTCAAATACTGAGGTTTGCAATGCCCCGGAGGTGAATCTTTTCTTTCCATGGTGGCAGCAGCTGCCAAAAGTGTGCAGAGAATCCATTTAAAAAAGTGTGTGAAAGATGCATCAGCTCATTTGCACTTTGTCTAATTCAGCTAATTTCTAAAGTGAGGTTGCAGTGTCTAGTCGACACAAATCTCCCTCTCAAGATCCACGGACAGGAGAGCGTCTTGCCAAAGTAGAGACCGATGAATTAGTCATTTTTTGTGATGCCCAGAGCAGTTTCTCCAATTCCTAAATATTTAAAATTATCACAGGTCTAAAACGTTTGAAAACCTTTGGCTTAGGCATCCTTCCTCAAATTTGTGCCCCCCAGGTCTGACCCCTGGCATTTCGGGCTAGGGCTGGAAGTGATTTATGCTGGACATATCAGCCTACCATGTAGCTGTACTGAAAATGATAAATTTCATATTGCACGTTAATTTGGAAGGGGACGGAAAGCAAAGGCACTGCGTTGTCATGAAATCAGAGCCAGTTTCATACCAAGGCAACCACATCTCCATCTATCTAATCCGTATGATATGCCACTCTGGCAAGCGGCTTGTGCTGGTCTACAGCCTGATTTCTGGATGATGCAGACTGTTGCCTCCCGCTTCACGCCTGGTTAGGGGACAGACTTCAAGAAGAAACCGGGCAGCCGTCTGAGTGGGATGGTGTAACCTGGTGCCCTGCAAGAGCAGGGGGTGGACCTGATGGCCTTCCTGGCCCTTTCCAACTGCTATTCTACGATTCGGGGGTGGCAGACCATCTGTAGCAGAAATGGACCCGAAAGAACTTCAGACTTTTGACATCAGCAGCTGCGGTGTCTTTCTGGACCACCTGTCTGAGGTGGACCCGGAATCCAGCACTTGAGCCTCAAGGGGCTGGCTCCCACTTTCTAGCAGCCTAGGGCAGCCTGTCCCCCTGGGCCGTCCACCAGATTTGGATCGCACTGTCCAGCCCCTCCACCTTTAATCTGCACGTCCGTAAGATTAATTTAGAGCCACCCTTGGAAGCGTCTCGAAACTTCAACCGGTGCTGCAGCCGGAATGCCACCCAGAGCCCGCTCCATGCGAAAGGCAACTTATCACAACGGCTGCATCGGTGCCCTCCTCCAGGCAAGATCCAGACTATGACAGACAAAGCCCCACGCAGCTCAGGCCCAGGCTGTGGAGGACCCCGTTCTTCCCCCGAGGTTTCCGCAGACCCACCCAGGAAAAACCCTTTCAGCCCTTATTTGGCCGGGGAATGGGGAAAGGCCTTCCTCAGGCCCAGCCGGGCAACAGCCCTCCGCCTGGCCGGCCCCGTTGCTGTGGCTCTTCCACCAAAGACATTTCCGGGGACACAGGCTTGGCCTTCATCGCAAGGTATGTGGGTGCAGCACAGGGGTTGGCACTCTGGACCCAGGTCCTACTTCCAGTTAGAACATGGAGTTCCTGGGTGCCTTTGGGCCTGAAACGAAGAGCTGCCTGCAAGAGCAGCAGCTGGGATGCACACAGATACCAAGCCAGGCTTCCCCAACCCGAGACTTTGGACTGCAACTCCTCCCAGCCACTGGCCAGGCCGACGGCAACCGCAGCCCCAAACATCCGGAGGGGCCCAGGCTCGGGGAGGCAAAGGTGGCCCAGCTCGGCCTGCTGGTGCTTAGGCCTTCTGCAATGCTGCAGCCCAGACCGCCCGAACCCAAGGCCAGGCAGGGACGCTTGCACGAGACGAACGGTAGCACTCGCGTTTATTGGCAGAACCGTGCACTGGCCGACCGGAGACTTCCTCTTTCGAGCCCTGGGAGCTGTGCACCCCCACCCAGGCTCTGCCAGCCACAGTGACTCAGAGGGAAACGGGGCGGGCGCCCGTGGGTGAAGCGGGGGCAGGACCACATCCTCCACAGCACCGACTGCAACACCCAGGTGGGGGCACGTGGTGTCAAGCCAGCAGCCACTGGCAAGCAGCTCTTCGGCGTCTCTTGGCCGGCCAGACAGGGCTCCGCCTCTGTGATCTGGAAGACAAACGAGGAGACGGTGCTGGTAGCCACAAATCCACAGAGTGAGGCCGGAGGCAAGGGAATTGTTGTCGGCCAGGGAATCTCTTCCCAGAAGAAAGATCGAGCCTGTGGGAAAAACCAGCTGGGCTTGTCTGGCTGCCAGGAAAGGATGAGATGCAGAACATGAACTCTCCTTCCTGGTCGAAGTGCCAGATCCTCCGAGTGACAGAAGCCCTAAAGACTCAGGAGGAAGGGGGAAGATTGCCTCAGCCCAGCAGCTGACAGAACAAGAGCAGTCCGTTGCCATCCAAGAAAGGACGGGGAGCTGAGGCATCCAACCCCGACCCCATGTCAGAGTCTGCTTGCAGCTCCTCATTTTGTGTGGGCCTAGAACTCCGGCTTCCCTTCGCTACCCGCTGCCCTGTGAGCATGACACCACCCAGCCTGGCCTCCTCAGGACTGAGAGGCAGGACTGGCTCTCCAGGGACCACGGCGGGGCCTTGTCCAGCCCTGCCGGGAGGCTCGAAGCCTTCCCAAGGGACTGGACCTGGGCCCTGCCCAAGCAAAGCCGGGCCTCGAAGGTCCGGGCCGTTTGTAAGCCAGACAACGGAAAGACCCGTTTCCCTCTTGACTAATGGACGCGAGTCACTTTGGCAGACGAGGCTTGTCCGAGAAATAGAAGGGCTAAAAATAGAAGACGGCACAGATAAGGTTCTAGGCCAGTTTTCAGGAAGTTCTCCCTTCCCTCTTGCCCTCACCCGCTCTGTGCCGCCCCAACCCTCTGCAAACCTATAAAATGCAGGCTGCACATTTACTCAGATGTAAACCCCACTTGGTTCAAACAACCGTGTCCAGGGCTTCAATTAAAAACTCCTGGGCAGAACTCACTTTTGTCCCTGAAAAGGGCAACCCGCCCCTCATGCTTTGGTTATTTTCAAAAGGTTCTACAAGAATGAACCCCCACCCCTAATCCTATTCCTCATTTACCTGGGCTCCTATCTATAAATAGTCACTGCTCACCTACATGCAAACTTCGCTGAGGACTAGCAACCTGATTTTTAAACAGCAGGAAAAGTCCTCAGGGGGCCTAACAATGAATTCTGCCCCGAAGCGTAAGAGGATGCAGAGTGTTCTTGATGAAAATGTCAACTGACTACACGGCTGCTGTGGAAAAGGCACATTCCATGCTGGGCAGGAAAGGAGTCAAACGCTAAAACGTCAATAGAATCTGCACTATTAGCAGCATGTGTGGAAACCACACCTGGAACACCGGGCAGGCCTGATCACACACGGAAAAAGGGTTATTATAGAGTTGGGCAGAGCTGAAAAGGGTGACTAAACTAACCCAAGGCTGGAGCAAGGCTCCCGTGAGGAAACAGCTCAGAAAGACAGTGAGCCAGAGGAGACAAGGGCAGAGGTATACAAAATACCACGCGGTGCAGAGAAAGCCCGGGGGGGGGGGGGTCTCCTCTGTAGACAGCAGAGCCCAGAGCAGTTCTTGCACAAAGGGGGCCGGTCGGAGAGTCAGACAGTAACAAAGGACTTTTCCACACAGCTATGCCCAGTTAAGCTACGGCGTTCCCTTCCGTAAGACAGAGCAACCGCCACCCATCTGGGCGGCTGAAAGAGGGCTGGACCAGCCTAGGGAGGAATGACAAAGGCTAGCTGTGCCCGAGTTTTACCTTGTGCATCACAGCCAGCTGCCCGAGGGACGCTTGTTGGAGAAGATGAGCAGGAGGGCCTCTGTGCACTTGTGCTCTTCCACAGACGGCCGGAGCGCGTGGGCCCTCAGTCTGATCTTGCACGGTGGACTTCTGGCCTGATCTCACGTATTCTTATGAGCTGCGGAATAAACAGAGACCTGGATTTCTGAGATCCGGGGCAAGGCGAGGCACCTTCAACCGTTTTGCCTTCAACTTCAGCCACGTGCATCTTCTGCCTGGATCTGTTACCAAAGGGCACTTGGTTCTTCGCCAGCACCTCTGAGCTGCTCCGGAACGACTGTCTGAGATTTCTATAACCTCCCTCTGAAGGTGGAGCAGAGCGAGGCCTCAAACCATCCCACAGCTGCTCTTGCAAACTCTACAGGAATGAACAGGGTCACGGAAGAGACCCAGCCATGCTGGAAGGCTTGCGAAGGAGGAAGGGGCTTCATGCACAGAATCTTGGCTGCTCCGCCCCCCCGCTTTTTAATTACAAAGGAAGAAAGGGTCCTAATCATCTACGCTGCGGATTGAGCGAGGTTTCAGAGTGCCAGCATCACACCTCAGTGGGTTGCAAGATTTCAGTGTTTCCTCCTGGTTCCCAACTGACTGACAACATACGATAGGAATAGATGAGAGTTGCTGCATACCAGCTTTCTACCCACTACTAAAATCTCCTCTTTACAAGTCACTCCTTGAAAAGCTTCTGCCCATGAAGGAAGCGTTCAAATCCAAGTGGATGGGAGCAACCAACCTACGAAAAGCTGAGGCTGGCTTAGGTGTCCTCCCTGCTTTTATACAAAGACAACGCTGGCCTCTAGAATTCTCACACACGGTTCTTAAAGTCTCACAATAGGAAGCAGATGCTTTCAAAGCTTCTCTTGACATGGAGCCCTCAGGCCTTCTTGGGAAGATGGCGACGGGCACACCAGACACGTTCTCACTTACAGACCCAGCACATGCATGCTCCAGGGATGGAGAGTGAGCCTGGCCTTGTGAGCATTACGCAAGCCACATGCAAACCACTCACCCATCCCCAAGCTGAAAAACGGAACCAACACTCCCAGGTTCGCATCTGGGCACGGCCAGAAAAGGCAGGATGGCGACTCCACTCCGCTCCGTGTCTTTCCATGAGCTGATGGAAAGCAGCCCCTGGCCCTGATCCGCTTCATTTGGTGCTGGTGGATCCAAGCTGAGCTGGTGCGCATCCTAGGGCGGAAGGGACAAAAACCGCACTTGCTGGAAGGCCAGAATCCCAGACCGCCTCCCCACTGCAGCTTCCCTTCCCTGCTCCGTTTTTAAAGAGCATGCATGCAGATTGGAGCACGCTTCAGAAACGGCAAGCGTGCCATCTGGCAGCGAGATGAAAGAGTTGCCTTTCCTGAATTTTTGCATGACGCAACTGGGAGTTGTTTGCTTTTCTTCAAGGGGGGGGGCTTGCTTTGATATACCGCAAGGATAACACCCCCCATCTGCCTGCAATCACCACCGGTGTGGGGGAGGGAGCGCCGAGGCTGTCACTTTATTTCTATACTGCCCAACAGCTGAAGCCGGGCAGCCCACAACAGTGAAGTGGTCACACCACCTTTGCTCCAACCTGGTGCCCTCCAAAGAAACTCCCATGTTCCTCGGCCGTGCTGCAGGGGATGATGGGGACTGCAGGCCAGCCCAGCTGGAGGGCGCCAGTCTGGGGCATACGAAGAGACCCAGAGGAAAGATGGACCTCAACACAAAGTTTACAATGCTGGGGGGGGAACCATGAAGCACATAAGCCAATCAACACTTCGCCTTGTTGCTGGGTCCGCATCAGCCTTCAGCCCAAATGTGTCCTTGGGAGCTCACTCTCATTTTTAAAATATATGTATCTGCTTGGTGGTAACAGATGCTGTCACGATCCGTTTGCGGCCAGGCCGAGACCAGAGCGCCAGGGGGATTAACCGGGGGACTCTCTCTGTACCACAACACCATTGTGGGCTCAGTGGAGGAGCAACCCCAAGAAGAGCAACGAGGAGCCAACAGCGCCCAGCCAGTTCCCAGGAAAAGCGTGTCTGAGATTTCTATAACCTTCCCCCGAAGGTGGGGCAGGGAAAGGCCTCAAACCATCCCGCAACTGCTCTTGCAAACTCTACAGGAATGAACCAGGTCACGGAAGAGACCCAGCCATGCTGGAAGGCTTGCGAGGAGGGGAGTGCCAAGAGGCACCGGGACGAGCTCTGTTTTGAAGCATCTTATGTGGGTGACTCCTATCCCCACCGGATCTCTGTGCAGGCGTATTTGGCACGGCAGCTGTGCCGGTTCAGAAGCTGCTACAAGGCAAGTCACAAGAGAAGCGGGTAATGCTCAAAACAGAACCGTCTGTTTCAGGCCCAGGCAAAGCAAAACTTTAAGATGTCCCACACAGCAACCAGCAATGCCTAAAGGGCTTCCAAAGTCCACCACCAGATCGCTTCGCCATGTCGAATGGCTGACCAGCTGGCCAAAATGCTGGACTGAGCTCAAGAAAAAGGAAGCGGGGAGAGTTACATGCTGGGTTCCAATACAGGCCAGCCTAGTTGCCTTACTGTTGATAGAAATACCCTTGAAATGCACCGGGAGGGTTTTCTCTGCCGCCTAAGTGGTTTCTAGCAATACATTTCTCTCCTGTAGGGAAACCTGGACCCAGATGGTGTCACCAATTATAGACCAGTGGAAAGCAATTATAGACCAGTGGAAAGCATCCCTCTCTTGGGCAAGGTGCTTGAGCAGGCGGTGGCTGGACAACATGGCTGAATAATTTCATCTTCACATAGTACACACTGCTCTTTACTGAAGTGCTTATGTTGCCATCACTATTGCTTTTTGTAAACTATCTTGAGATTTCATTGAAACATTAGACAAAGTATATAAAGGCTTTTAAACGCCCTCTAAATAAGCAAAAATTCCCTTCCAATTCTCTCTAAAGCAAGCGTTGCCTGACTTAATTCCTACCACCACACCGCACTGAACTTCGTAAAATGTCTGAGGAAGCTGATGGGGGAAGGAGATGGAAAACCGGCATGCCCTTGGAGAGATCTGTCTGCAGTCAAACAGGAATATGCTGGGCTGCCAGAAGGAAAGGTCAGACTAAGGAAAGGAGTTTCAAATGGACCAGCAAGTGCCACAGTCAGAAGCGCACCACCACATGAGACTCACCTCTTCCACTTCTATTCTCAATGAACCATTTTAATTTTTTCTTTAGCTTCAGGTAAGGAACCTCATCAATGTCGGTCCTCCTCGTGTCTCCATTTTGGCTCCTGCAACGGGCACGGCATCACTCAGCTCCTGCTCCCATCTGATGCGTCACAAAATCAGGTGCCAGGAAGGTCCCGCTTGCATTTATGCACCAGAAGACCTAATAGAGAGGTAAAAAAGCATACAGCGACCGACAGTCTAGATTTCTTTTCTAACTGAAAACCGGCGTCGCCTAGAATTCCCTGAGTTACAAACAGGCTTGAGCTACAAACATTTTTGCAGCAAAGCTTTTAGGACACAAACCTGCACACTTGTAGACAGAAAAAATCCTAGCATTCCGCAGGCGACACTGTTCCATCCCAGGCAAGTACAGGCAGGGGAAACGTCACGGCCCGCTCTTGGGAGTCCTAGGGCCTTCCCCGACTAAGCCAAGCCAGAACTGCCCCCGAGAAGCCATTCATAGGAAAGCACCGTACAAGGAAAGCACCAAGCAGGGCGATTTCGGGCGTTCGTTTCCGGAAGAGCATTCAAAGGTGCTAGTCCTCAGCACCCGCCTCCTTCAGACGGCAGCGGGGGCCACGTGCAGAAAGTTAGCCGCGGGTTTGAGACAAAAAGGAACCACGGGGGAAGAGAGGCGCCAAGGGGGGAGAAGGAAAGCCGGGAACCCAGCAGCGTGCTGAACGCCCACGTGCAAGAACGACGGCCAGCAGCCCGCACACCACGAGGCCCGATACGGCCGACGGGGCGCGAAGGCCCCGCTGCCTTCTGGGAATCGTAGTCCAGCTGGGCCCCGAAGGGCAAACCGCCCGCAAGCCCCCGCTCCGGGGGCGCCAAGGCACACGCGCAGCTCAGGGCCGCCCCTCTCCGCCGCAGCGGAGCCTAAGCACCTTCGAGCCACGCAGCGGGCCGCGAGCAGGCCTCCGTCGCCCCGGATGCCGGCGGATCCCGTCCCCGCGGAGCCCCGCGGGCCGAGCTCCTCGCCGCTCCCACGGCGCCTCAGGGACGGCTCCGCCTCTCGGCGCGCGTGACGTCACCGCGCCCCTCCGCCTCTGCGACGGATCGCTTCCTCTTCCGCCCCCTAGTGGCTCGCGCCGCTCCTGCCGAGGCTGCGGCGGGTAAATGCGCCCGCCAATCAGCGTCCGACCGTTATTCAAAAAAAGGGTGGGGAAAACGTGTTCTTAGTAGGAGAGCGCGGGAGAGCTGTAGGGGCTACGGTCTAGTCGGCCTTTCAAGACTTCCGGTCTCGGATGGCAGTCCTTAACAATGGGTGGTCGAAGAAGTATTGTAAGACAATGTATGAACACCAAGAAAGCATGACACGCAGAATATTAGACTAGTTTGGGCAAATAAGGAGTAATGAAAAGCACAGCTGGCTGTAGCCGATTACTGAAAAATGAAAAAGACGTGGAGGACGAGGAAGGACTTCTTGGCTGAAAATCCTCAGAGCAGGGCTTGGGGGCGATGTAATACAGTTCTTTGGAGAGACAGCAGTTAAAGATGGTCTTGCCAGGATGCGGCCCAACCTCCGGCAGGAGAGAAACGAGAACAGTTCGGTAGGTCCTGGTCAAAGGGGACGCGTGTGCATAGCAATTCACATGCAACAGGCAGGACTGAAGACTCTTTTCGGCCGTGCTCAGATCTAGTAACGCCCTCTAGGGAAGGTTCGGATCCGTGCTTGTTTTATGGACAATTTAGGCACACGTCCTGGCCCTGCAGGCGGAGCATTTAATCAGAATCGGAAGTAACGGCCGCGCGGCCCTCCGAGGTCGCTTGAAGGCTCTTTGCGGCTCTGCCCTGCCCAGGGAGCCGCTCTTGCTCCCTCTTCTCGCTGCTCCTCCGCCTCGGGAGGACTGACGTCACCCTCCTCCCCCCTCCCCGTCCCGAGCGCTGGCCCGGCTCGAGAGAGCCTGAATGAGGCGCGGCGCGCGAGGCACGCCGGGAACGCCGACGCCCAAGATGGCGGCAGGATTGAAAAGTTGTTGCCGCGGCGGCGGTCGCGGCGCTTGAGTCTTCCGTGGGCGGCCATGGCGGCGCAGTGAGGGCCGAGGGGACCCGGGCGGGGAGATGCCTCGGGGCCCCGCCTGAGCCATGGAGGAGGAAGGCAAGAGGGGCAAAAAGGTGAGAGGGGGGGAGGGGAGAGGGGCGGGGCCGGCGGGGGCGGGGCCGGGTTTGTTTATGGGGAGGGTCTCCGGTGTGGCGGGTGGGGAGGGCGCGAGGCCGGGCTTTCTCTCCCACTGCCCCTCGAAAAGTGCAGGGGGTGCTTTGCCCGAAGGAAGCCCAGCGCCGGCTGCTGGGGGGCTGCTCTCGCCCCCCCCGTTTGGCCGGGCGAGGGGGTCTCCCGGGCTCCCCCTGCCCGCGCCTCCCCTGCTGCTTCGCCGGGTCCCGTCAGAGGAGCGCAGCCAGGGAGGAGAAGAGCCAAGCCTGGCCTCTGCGAAGCCTCCTTGTAGCAAGGGGAGCAGCGAGTGTCAGACAGTGAGGAGCCTAAGCGGCTTTTTCGCCTCACTCCCCCAGCAAAAGAAATGCTGCCAAAGGCCCTCTCTTCTCCCGCCGCCTCTGCCTGGCCCTGAACGCTTGCCATTGGAGGGCTCAAGTACACAGTCAATTCATAAAATCGCAAATAAGGGGGTGTTGCTAGGCCCAGGGGGGTCGCCGGTGGCACCGGTGAGCAGCTGGCAGGGGAGGGCAGTCGAGGGAATTGATCGGTGTCCACTAAGCAGGTAGGGGGAGAGTGATGGGTCTGGTCAGTGCCGTTCATTAGCAGTCTCGTGTTCCGCTTCTGGGAGGGTTATAGCTAAGGTTAATGCTGGTTTTCTTCCTTGGCAGTCTGTGTGCCCTGTGCTGGCATCCGGAAAGCGTTGCAGATGTGAGAGGAGGGCAGATACGTAATGTCTACTCATGATGAATGTAAGCAGATCTCTGCTGGGTCAGACCAGGGTCCGCCTAGTCCTGCATTCCTTTCTCTTGTGAGGCCACAAGCGGGGCTGGAGGTCAAATATTCCTGGAGGCTAACTCAGAGGCATGCCTGCTCTGGAGGTAGCTGAGCAGTGAAGGGTGCTGCTTGGTGCTGGTCCTGATGTTTGTATGCTTCCTCCTGCAACTGGTTGGCCGCTGTGTCAGCAAAGTGCTGGACTAGGAGGACTTCTGTCCTATCCGGCACAGCTCTTGCACTCGTTGGAATGAGGAGCTGTGCACTGCTGTCTTCCTTGCAGGGATTTCTGTCCACGTCCCTCACTGTATCTTGTGGCAGAATATTCTGTGATTATGTGCAGTTTGGCTGCTAGATCGAGAGAAGTATTACTGCCTCTCTGTACGGCTCTGATGTGCCAGCAGCTGGACCACTGTGTTCAATTCTGGCCCCTCATTGCAAGAGGGATATAGCAAGGTTGGAATTGGAGAAGCAGAGGGCCACGAGGATGGTGGCTGGTTTGTAGGGGAAGCCAGATGAGGAGAGGCTGAGGGAGCTTCGTCTGTTCAGGCTTGAGAGAAGGAGACTAAGAGGGGACCGGTTAGTGACATACAGGTATGTGGGGGGGGGTGCCATGCAGAGATGGGTCATGACCTTTTTTTCCCCCGCAGTGGAGGGCAGGGCTTGTTCCAGTGGAGCAAAGCTCAGGGAACCAAGGTTCAATTTGGGTGCCAGGAAGCACTTCCTGACAGTTAGGCTCCCTATGGGTATGGAAGGGGCTTCCCCGGGAGGTGGTTGAGGCCCCATCGGAGAGGGTCTTCAAGGATAGGCTGGACATGCACATGATAGGCATGTCATGAGCAGAGCCAGCTGGAGCCGGGGGTCAGACTAGATGGCCCGGGAAGCTCCTTCTGACTCGCTCTGTTTCTAATTTTTTATGTGTTTATGTTTCTGTGTTTGGAGATGGACTTGTCTGTGCTTCCCATTATTCAGCTTCATTGTGGTTCCAGGTATGAGTATCAGGAGCAGGAGAAAAAATTATCCACTTCCTCCATAACGTGCATGATCTCATAAACCTGGGCAGTGCCCGTGTTCCTCTTTCCTAGACTTTCAAATTTGAGCACCAGTGCACTTGTACCAACTGTTGCAAAATATTTCAAGAATTTAACCCACTTCTCCTCAAACAAAGGACAGCAAAGGTAGTGATCCACCAAGGCAAAAAGCACGAAATAGGAAACATCATATAGAGAAAGTTTGGTAGCAGTTTCATATTCGCTGGGATCAGCTCAGCTCTGGAGACTTGCAGTAATCACTGGCTGGAGCACCAGGAACAGGATGACCAAAATGGAGTGAGGGGAGAATGCCTCAAGATACCAGCAAGTGGGTATCGCAAGGCGATCAAACCCGTCAGTCCTAGAGGAGATCAACCCTGACTGCTCTATGGAAGGCCAGATACTGAAGATGAAACTCAAATACTTGGGCCACCTCATGAGAAGGAAGGACTCCCTGGAGAAGAGCCTAATGCTGGGAACGATTGAGGGGAAAAGAAGGAGGGGACGGCAGAGGATGAGGTGGCTGGATGGGGTCACTGAAGCAGTTGGTGTGAGCTTAAGAGGACTCCGGGGGATGGTGGAGGGCAGGGGGGCCTGGAGGAATGCTGTCCATGGGGTCGCAATGGGTCGGACACGACTTCGCGACTAACCACAACAAACCTCCCCACGACACCCCTGCATGGTGGGTTAAGCTGGAAGTCTTTGGCTAGCTAGCTACATCATGAGCTTTGTAATCGAGTGGGAGCTAAAACTTGGGTTTCCCTGACCACTGTGCTTCACTGGGAAACCAAGGTACAAGGCCAAGGCCCCATACTGTATTCTCCAGATGCCTCCAGTACTGCGCTTTCAGTCCAAAAAGTCCCGCGAGCCTTTAGTTTTTCAGACTTAGAATTTGGGCTGGAAAATAGCCAACTAGTCAGTCACCTTGGCACCTTATTTGCTTGTTTATCTACCTTGATATTTATATACTGCTCCATCCCCATAGATACTGGGCGGTTTACAAGGAATTAAAACCAGCAGCAATATTGACTAAGATAGCATATTAAATATGTAATTTTAACTAAATGAGCCACTTGCTGTTTTGTGCTAACTTCTAGGATTTGGAATAACTTTCCAGCAAGGAGCAAGGTTGGTAGTTTTTGATCCTGCCTCCTAAATACAGAAAATCATTCAGGGTTGGGCAGAGCTGACAAATCTTGTGGCTTTCCACCCTTCCTGCATGCTTCCTGTTAAACAATTGTGATTAAATAAGGACTTAAGTATGAATGAGCACGCTTCGTCGCAATTTCCAGAAAATGGAATGCAGCAGGTCTGAAAAGACAGTCCTGAAGTGTGTCTAGAGAAGTTTAGTTAGTGAATGACTTAGTAAGAAGGAAATATATAATAATTTGAGGAGATTCACCTGTAAGTTCTCTGTGTATGTTTGCCTAATTTCAGTCGATCTCAAAGGTAGTGGTGAGAGATGGCATGCGATGTGAAGCTATCCCAGGGTGTCAAGTGGAGAATTCTTTGGAAACTGTTCTGTTGACCATTCTTGCATGTGACTGAAACTTCACGGAAAGACAATGGTGGCCTTTATTTCAGCCTGGTTGTTCGGAAGTGGGTCCCTGACTTGTCTCCAGAATAGCGTTCTAATTAAGATCTGCAGCTAATTTTAGTCTGGATACACTGTGGAATAGACATTGCTCCCTGGGCTTTGCTTTTTAGATGTGAGGGACGAAAAGGGGAACAATCTGCTTATAAAACACCGATGATGAAGGACTGCCCTAGAACCGGGGATTATCTCTGAATTTGCGAAGTGGTTTATTCCCCCTGCCCAGGCTAACCTGGTTTGAAAAACACATTGTCGGTGATTGTGGCGTGTTGACTGCATGCAGGAGCTTAACCATGGTTTACTGTGGCTCCTCCAGTGGGGTCTCATAAGAACAGAAGAACCATGGTGCCAGATTACGCCAGCCTCCTCCTCCTGCGTGAATGTCTCCAGTCCCTTCTTAAAGCCGTCCAGATGGGTGGCTGCCACCATTTCCCATGGCAGTGCATTCCGTAGTATAACACAATGGCTCAAAGAGTAATTCTTCCCCATTCAGCTTCATTTAAGCGGTAGATGAATGGTGTGTGATCCAATGGGTAGAGCAGCCTTCCCTACCTGGCATCTTCCAGATGTGTTGGACAGAGAATTCTGAAGTTGTATCTGGAAGGTGTGAAGTTGGGCTAGAGTGTCAGACCAGAGCTGAGGAGATCCGGGTTCAAATGTGCTCCCAGACTGGGTCCGCATGTTGGCCTGGAGCCAAATGTTGACCCAGTTTGTATGTAGTGACAATGAAAGTATTGGGTAAATATGCATAATCGAACCCTGTTGTTTTGGCAAATGTGCAGCTATGGTTTGTTAACCATAAACAACCCAGGAAGAGCACCCATGAGGCCAGTTCATATGACAATCTGGCTTGTTAATTGATTAACAGTCAATCAATAGCCAGTCAACATGGTGTGAGGCTGGTGCATTGAGGGGATGTAGCGTCCTATGCAAAGCTATCCATCATGGGTTAATCGAGGATTAAGAAACCTGATCTGAACCCAAATATGAATTGAGGGTTCAATGGGACTTGGTTTAATGAGCCATTAACATGCAATGGCCAGCAGCTTTTCCAAACAGTGACTGCATGCACCCCTCATACCCTGGGACCAACTGCGGGTTAAGTAACCCATGATTACCTGCTGCATTGTGCAAGCTGGGTTCCTGGCTTGTTGCTGGGCTACGATCTCTGGGTGGTGTTAATTATGCAAGCCCAGAACTGTGGGTTGTTCCCCCAGCCTCCCGAGGTGGCAAGCGAGAGTGGACAGAAAAATTCAGTCCCTTTGACATGCAGTCAACGTCTCCACAAAGGCGTTCAGCGTGCACAGAAGGAAGCAAAGCAGGAGGGACTCAAGCAACCCAGGAATGGAGCCCCCCCCCCCCGACTTTGTGTTGTCATCTGACCATCAATTCCTGGACACACGTCAAGTGTGGGACCCAGGCTGTCCCTGTGGGCAAGCTCAGTATCATTTTGCCTAACCTACCTTGCAGGGTTGTGGTGAGGATTAAATGGTCAACTGCATATACTGCCTTGATCTCCGCAGAAGAAAATGAGATCTAAAATAATCAAGATAGGTAGTTGCTCTGATTCCATTCAGAGGCAGCTTTGCTTTTCTCTCTAGATGCTACTCCCAAATGAGCGTAGAATCGGGGCGGGGGGGTGAGAACGAAAGGATGGCTGCCTGTGGCCTCCATGGAGTGTTAACTGGTGGAAGGCTCAGAACCAAGTCTGGTCTTTTTAGTTATTTACTTTAGGTGGTATAGGCCACTCCGCATCAATGACTGTTGAAAGCAGCAAATTAAAATATAAAGAACTTCCAGTGGAAGCAAAAGCTCCAATAGAGTGGTGGCTGGAAGATATAAAACTTTGGTTGCAGATCCTCATTGCAAGTACAGCCACCCTATGAGCTCATAACCTTTCAGCTAAACATGAAAGCTTGGAAGCCCGTTCTCTCTCTCCACCCTCTCCAGCCCGGGACATAACTGTGGGAAGCAAGCTATTTTTAGTCAAGCGTTTCACCATAGATGTCTGCAGTAACCACTGTTTCCGAAGGTGGCAGCAGAACCGCCTGTTGTGGTGTACCTCCCCAAGAGCGACTCAAAGTAATTCGGGATGTACTGGTGGTTTTCTTGTTGGACAATCGTCACTCTGGGCTCAAGAAATATTTCAATTCCAAGATCGCTCAGGGCGCATTTGTGACTTGCTTTCTCTTCTACTCACACCGAGTTTGGAGAGCTTTCTGCAGTTTTGTTTCCGTGTGTTTCGCAGCCTCACATCTCTGTAGGTCTAGTCATCCCCCTGCCTTCCCCGTTTCAAACCCATTTGTCACTTGGTGGTACGGATCCCACCAGAAAGTGCGCACTGAATGCAAAG